CCGGGTGGTACCAGGGATCAAACTCAGAACCTTATTTTTGCCAGACAAGCACTTACTCCACTGAGCTATCTCCCCGGCCCCGTTTCTTTGTCTTTTTGAGATAAGGTTTCCTTATGCAGTTGAGGCTGGTCTTGAGCTCACTTTGTAGCCAAGTCCTGGGATTACAGGAGTGTTCCTCCAAACCCAGTCATACCTCCTTTCTGACCTAGTAAGTCCCTGGTATGATCTCAGAATACGGATCTCTAACAGATTGCCAGTGCTGCTGCTGCGGACAGCGGTCCAAGTCCATCTAGAAGCTGCTGCATGGGTTCTGTGCCTAGGATTGGAATCCACTAGCCACTTCCTGTAATCCTTAAGGCAGCTGGCTGGCCCATTTCCTTTTTTATAAAGTGGTCTAGGGCAGTGGCGATGACTCTATGGCGTGCATGATGCAGCGGGTACACAGCGCTCTTTGTCAGGCACACCAGCCAAGTTGCCCCAAAGCTGAGTGTTGTGTACTCAAAATACAATTGCAGTGTTGACACTTTTTTTTTTTTTTTTTTTTTTGCGGTACTGGGAATTGAACTCAGGTCCTTGCACTTGGCCAGGGAATCACTTACTCCACTGAGCCCAACACTTTGTGATGAGTGAGTGGGGCTGGGGTTGCAGCTTGTGCACTGGTCTCTAAAAAGTTCACCATCATTGGTCTAGGGAGCCCATAATGATCTCTCCCTTCCTTCTCTCTCTCCCTACTTTTTTTTGTTCCTCCCCTTGCTCTCTCCCTCTGGTTTGCTAGGCAGAGGGTTTGCCACTGAGCTATATCTTGTCCTTATAAAATGCTTTCTTCAAGAAGTGAAACGAAACAGTACTCTGGCCCTTCTCTTTGGTTTCTTGCTTCTTTATCTTTGATTGTTTTACAGATAGAGCCGCCATTGTGGCTAAAGTTAATGGAAAATAAGCTATTCATTGGAACTGTAAGATGAGGACAATGGTCAGTCTTGATCTACAGTGATAGAGTATATGTTGGAGACCTAAGTTGGTGCCTGTGCCAACTGCGCTGCCCACATGGGTCTTACTGTATGGTCTAGTGTTACTCTCTGTTCATATCCTATACTTGTATATTTACTAGAGAAATGTATTAATCTTGAATTCTTTGATGACTAGCTTTCCTTTTTTTTTTTTTTTTGGTGGAACCAGAGATTGAACTCGGGCTCTTGTGCTTGCAAAGCAAGTGCTTATTCTACTGAGCTTTCTCCACAGCCCCTACTTTCCTCTTTCTAATGTAGCTTTATGGTCCTTTGTCTTGCAGGTATTTCATGCATGGGGTTTGTAAGGAAGGAGATAACTGTCGCTACTCACATGACCTTTCTGACAGTCCCTATGGTGTAGTGTGCAAGTATTTCCAGCGAGGGTACTGTGTGTATGGAGACCGCTGCAGGTAAGAATCAGTTAATATATTTCTGACTCTAGGCAGAGTGGTGCATGCCTGTAATTCCGCACTCAGGAGGCTGAGGCAGGAGGATTTTTGTGAGTTTGAGGCTAACCTGGGCTACATAATGAGTTCAAGTCCAGCTTGAGCAACATGGCAAAACCCTATCTCAAAAAGAAAAACAAAATTCTGGTGGGAGTGAGAAGAAAACAGTAAAATATGTAATGTTAGTAGCTTTATACATAATAGATTAAAGACGTTTAATACTTTAGGGCTAAAGGTATAGCTCTGTGCTAAAACATTTACCTGGCATACCCAGGGCCCTTAGCTGTATTACCCCAGGCAAGGCAGATATAATTACTTAATGCTTTGAGAAGTTCTCCTTAGGAATGTCAGTACGTGGACAGCATTGTCTTACAGAGAATGTATTCCATGTTTTGAATTAGTATTTTTTTATTAGTATAAATTTTATTTTTATGTATTTAGTACAGAGTCTACAGGGTCTCATTTTGTAGATCAGACTCAGTGATTCTCCTGTTTTCAGCATCCCAGGTGCTGGGATTACAGACACGTGCCACCATGCCCAGTCTCAATCATGTCTCAGCGCACCCCAGGGGCGGGGCAAGCACGCATGTGGGGGTATCGAACCCTGGTCCCCGCATCTGCCTAAGAAGGTGCTTTAATCTGCTGAGCTATCTGGCCTGCCCTGTATTAGTATAGGCATGCAGTACATAATGTGATACATAGCAGATCTTAATGCTTTTCTTCCTTCCTATCCATTCCTGCTCACTCCCAACTTGTCATCCCCTTTCAATTTGTTTTTTTTTTTAATTTTTATTTATTTATTTTTACATTTTATTTATTATTGTGTGTGTGGCCAGTTCAGCCCACCTGTGGGCGGAGCTGGCTGGCATGTGGTGCTGGGGGATCAAACCGTGGTCCCTGTGTTTTGCCAAGCTTGTTCCAAGTAGGTGCTTTAGACCACTGAGCCATCTCTCCAGCCCCCCCCTTTCAATTTGAAAAACTCCAAACAGCCCTACTTTTGGGCTTAGTGTTGTGGTGCATTCTGTGATCCCAGCATCTGGGAGATGAGGCAAGATGGCAGGGAATTTGGGACCAATGTGAATTACATAGTCTGACCCTATCAAAAAATAGACAAGAAAATCTAGTTCTAAATTATCTGGGGGGCCCGGGGAGATGGCTCAGTAGAATCAGCTCTTGCCTGGCAAGCGCAAGGGCCTGAGTTCAATCCCTGGTTCCGCCAAAAAATAAAAAATAAAAAATTAGGGGCCGGGGAGATGGCTCAGTGGAATAAGCACTTGCCTGGCAAGCTCAAGGGCCTGAGTTCAATTCCCGGTTCCACCAAAAAAAAAAAAAAAAAATTAGTTGGGTGTGGTAGTCATATCTGATCCCCATATTTAAGGAGGCTGAGGCCTGCAGCTTGGATTACTGACTCCACCTCCAGCAGTCCTGCTTTAGTGCCCGAGCACTGGTTTCTCCTGCACACCTTTGGGATAGAGTGTAATGAAGGCATTAGTATGTGGTATTTCCTTTTCAAAGGTCTGAGGTGTATATTTAATTAAGCTGAATTGGTTTCAGTGAACTAGGAAGGTAGAATCCAGAATTGGGAGTAAGGTAGGATACTTTGTGTGTGTGTGCGTGTGCTATAGATTAAACCCATAACTTCATGCCTAATAACCTCTTCTGCTGAGCTGAACCCCCAGTTGCAAGGCTACTAGTTAGTTGTAGGTTTCATTGATTTGTCCAGGTTGGGAAACAAAACAGAAGTTAAGGAACAGTTACAGCCTTAGGAAAAATGCTTTTGGTGTCTGAAACAATGTTACAGAACCAAGAGAGGTTAGTTGCTGAGTCCTATGAAGGTCCAATTCATCACTAGTGGTTTCTGTTTAGTAGTATAGAGAGTTTGTTTGCTTATCTTCCCAGTGTAGAAAGTTTGTATATATAAGTGTATGTATCTGTTGATGTTTAACTGCCAGAGTTTAGCAGTTCAAAACAGCAAGCATTAGCTGGGTATGGTAGTACATGCCTCTAATCAGGAGCCTGAGGCAGGGGTATCTATCATGACATTGGGGCCAGCCTGGGCTACATGGTAAGACCTTGTCTCAAAAGAACAAAACAAAAACCCAGCCAAATATTTATGGTCTCACACCATAGGTTGTGGGGGTCTATTTAGAACCTGCGAGTGACTTTACTGAGTGGTTCTATTGGACCCAG